GTGTGTGTGTGTTTGTTTTTTAATAATTCATTGCAAATTCAGCAATAATTTATTAGAAAAGGATATAGAACGATTTGTTATAATTAAAACGAATATACTCTTTAAGTTTTACCATGAATATGTATATATATACCTTCTCTCACAACTCTGACTCTCTCAGAGATTGAGCTTGTTAAACACACCAACGACATCTGTATGTTTGTGTCGCCATTATAACATGTAACTACCCCTAAATACATAACCTCTATTAATCGTTTCTACTTTGTCATAGGTCAGGTATACTTCGTATATTCAAAACTTCGTACTTTTAGTGGTTGATACTCTCTTAGTTCTTTTTTTTTTTTTTTTTTTTTTTTAAGAGAGCATTTCGAAAATGTAATTCAGAAATTAAGCACTATGAGGAAATATGGCGCTCTTATGTGTGGCGTATGTGTATCACACCAACTTTGGAAAATATTTTGTGAAGCTGAAAAAAAGCTTTTTGCTGCTTCATTTCGACGAGTTTTCATCAGAACAAATAACAAAGTTCTGTTATTGGAAATGACTATCTTAAAAATGTAAATCTTTTTTCCTTTTCCCTTTTTTTTTGAGTATAAACCTACACATAAAGCTTTCTACCTTTAACTTGAATACATGGACATTTCAGCATAAGGGTCGCTTTTTAGGTGAGATAAGATCGAGTTTTTTTTTATAAAAAATACTGAGATATTTTAAATTTGAAATTTGTATTTATAGCTATTAAGGTTTTTCATTAGTATTGGTCGAACGTGTTTGGTGTTTTCTAACACACCGGTATTTGAATGAAATAAAGTATTTTTGAATATTTTAACATGGCATAAACGCGTGTAAATTAATGAATACAATTCATTTTTTTATATGTGAACAGGAACATCCTAATTTAAAATTAATGAAATGCAATATTTACACAAATTCAAATCGGACGGGGGCTGACCAATATGTACAATATCCTGTAGATAGAACAGGACAATTGAAATGGAATCAGACGAAATAAAATTTGTGGTCTACATATATATTTGATCTAATAACAAAACATACACATATCATCTTCCTGTCAGTCGGGCATACTGGGATTCTTTGGTATAGCATTTTAATGAAATGGAGCAAAATTATGTATGAGTGCTATAAATATATACCCAATTGGCCAACCGTAGCATACCATTTAGATAAAATTTAATGGAAATATGTATGGAAGCTATATCTAAACCTGAAACGATTTCAATAAATTTCAATATAAACCCAATGCTCTCAGCATTATTTCATGTAAAGCGAACAAACATAGGCTCCTCGTTGCATCATTTGCATGAAATCGGACAAGACTATATATGGGAGCTATATCGAAATCAGAACCGATTTTATCGAAACTTCACAGACATAAAACTGGACTAAATTCAGTACACTGTGCAAAATTTTATCACAATCGGACAAATATTGGAAGTTAGACACCATGGGACGCCACACATCGTTAGACGAGAGAAAATTAGTTCTTCGCAATGCTGAACAATGACAATCTCAAAGGAAAATATCGGAAATATTCAATATTACTCGATATGCTGTCCAACAAATTTATATTGAGATTGAAACTCATGAATCGAATTTGCAACAAACCAAAAACCAGCGAGAAAAAAACTATTCAATATAATAGAAGAAAAGTGGTTGCATGATATTCATTGTAGAGTTGCATTGAAAAAGCCGATCATAAAGCCCAACAACCGGAAAATAGGAAAATATTATTTGCATTTTGAAATTCTATTGGTTTTGCCGATGAAAACTAATGGACGAAGTTAAAAAAATACCTGCACACTAGCACATAATTCCTACCGTAAAAAACGGAGGAGGGTCTGTAATGGTATGGTGCTGTATTAGCGCTGCCGGAGTTGGAAATCTTGTTTTTATTGAAAGAATTATGGATACGATTTATTATTTAAATATTTTAAAAGGCAATTTGAAATGCAGTGCTGAAAAATAGGGATTGGGGACACATTTAAATTTTATGAAGATAGTGACCAAACACAAACACAAGTCCCACATTGTTAGAAAATGGATGCTCCCAATCCCCGGATTTGAAACCTATAGAGAACTTATGGAGTATTTTGGAGAAAAACTACTAGAAGACATAACATCTCAAGCATACCAAGTCTGAAATTGTAGCACATTTTACACAGAAAGCATTGCAATCATTATTTGTATACTCCTAAGGATATTATATATATATATATATATATATATATATAATAAGTTATGTATACATTCCTGATCTGAATGAAATTCGATGTCGATTTATGCGTTCCGTCTCTCTGTCTGTTGACATAAGATAGAACTCTAAAATTGTGCACAGACCTTGCTAGTACTCCTAGGATATTTGGTATTGCGAACGGGATATATTGGTGAACGTTTCGGCGAAGCTCCCATATAACGGTACCAGCCCAATATTCAGTTTTGTGGGAAATTTAGACACGTTTTTTAACCGAATTAAAGATGCACCACCTGTGCGAGGTGCATCTTTAACATCAACGGAATCTACGAAACCAAACATGCACATTATTGGCTGTTACAGTATCGGAACCATAAACACCATTCACAATTTTAGCCGCTTAACTTGATTTTCTCCTTTGTCAAAGAAAAACAGTAAAATGTACCGAATTTTATCTGCATTTACTTCCATTTTTAACACCCTGTAACTCACAACTGAATGTACCCTGTAATTTTCCTAGAGTATGGGGGCTACTCCAGGTACACCCAATATTTGGTGTTATGGGTGGAGGGAACAAACCATCGGCCAAGCCGAACTTTGTTTTATATTGAAATCACATAAATATTGTTTATTTTTTTACCCTCCACCATATTAACCGAAAGTTCAGGGTATATTAATTTTGTCATTCCGTTTGTAACTCACCGAAATATTCATTTCCGTTCCTATAAAGTATATATATTCTTGATCAGGGTAAAATTCTAAGACGAACTAGCCATGCCCGTCCGTCCGTTGTAATCACGCTATCTTCCGAAGGAATTGAGATGGGGTGCTGAAATTTTGCATAGGGTTGTCTTTTGTCTGCAGGCAGGTCAAGTTCGAAGATGGGATATATCTGTCCACGTTTAGGCATAGCTCCCATATAAGGGTAACCCCCAATTTTCGGTATTTTGGGGTTCTTGAGCGCGTTTTTCAATCGAATTCGCTGAAATTTGGTACATTGGGTTCCTTTTGGGTACTAAAAGTCTCCACAAAAAATTATAAATATAGGTCCACTTTTTCTGGTAGCCCCCATATAACGGTACCTCCTAATTTTCAGTATTTTGGGGGTTTTGGTCGTATTTTTCCACGGAATTGGCCGTAATTTAGTACGTTAAATTCTTAATAGGTTCCAAATCACTCCACAAAAAATTATGAATATAGGTCCATTTATTCTGGTAGCCCCCAATTTTCGGTATTTGGGGGTTCTTGAGCGCGTTTTTCAACTGAATTCGCTGAAATTTGGTATATTGGGTTCTTATTGGGTACAAAATATCTCCACTAAAAATTATAAATATAAGTCCATTTTTTCTGCTAGCTCCCATATAAGGGTACCCTTAAATTTCAGTATTTTGGGGTTCTTGAGCGCGTTTTTCAACTGAATTCTCTGAAATTTGGTATATTGGGTTCCTTTTTGGTACCAAATATCTCCACTAAAAATTATAAATATAAGTCAATTTTTTCTGGTAGCCCCCCATATAAAGGTACCCCCAAATTTTGGCATTTGGAGGGTCTTGACCGCGTTTTTCAACCGAAATCACTGAAATTTGGTATTTTGTAGCCGTATATGGAAACAAATCTCCCTACCAAAAAATATTAATAGTCAACCCCATTTAGGCGTAGTCTATATGGGGATAATTATATTAATATAATTATCTGATTTTTCCGCGTTTTGGGTTTGGTTCTAACACTCTGTTGTAATCATTTCACCTGCGAAGGATATCGAGATAAAAAACTAGAAAGTACGGTTCGATAATGAACTATATGTGAACTATAGCCCCCATTTAGGCTTAGCTGTAGCCCCTGTGTGGGAGGTACCAGAAGGCATGGACCGATATTCCTCAAATTCGGACTTGAACTAAGTTTGGAAGACATAATAAGATGGGATGAAATCTAATTTTTCTGAAACGGTATATCGATTTGTATATATGTCGGTATAGGGACATTTTTTTGGTATGTTCCCTATATTTTCATCTCAAGTACCTGCCAGTATATCTATGGTGGAGGGTATCCAAAGTTCGGCCCGGCCGAACTTAACGCTTTTTCACTTGTTAATAATAATTTTTAATTTTACATATTTTGAATGCTATCCTGAGGGTGGAGGAACAAACCATCGGCTAAGCCGAACTTTGTGTTATATTGAATACACATAAATATTGTTTATTTTATTACATTCATTTTAATTTATGATGCTCATGTTCACATAAAATTTAATTCATTGATTGCCATGCTACTATGGCCTTTCTTATTTTATTTAAATTAATTTGGGACAGTTTTTTTTTTCTTTTTTTTTGTGCAAATACCTAAATTCAGTCAAATTGGCTCAATTCCTCACTTCATACCAAATGTCTTTTTATCCTTACTCCATTTGTAATAATAGACTGCATAATATTTTAAATTGCATATTTTTTATATAAAAAATTACCCATTTTCAGAAAGAAAGTAATTTGTTTAGATAATAAAAAATCGCATAACAAGAATTCTCATTCACCCCTATTAGAGAAAATGTGAACTCACAATATTTAAAACATTTTAGAAAATATTTTGTGTATAATAAATAAATAAATAAATGTTCTCGTTTTAATTTAATTTAAATTAAGCACAACTCGAATTTGATTTGAGGAAAACAAATTTCTTTAGTCAAAACATTTAAATTCCATTAAATATGCTCCCGGTGAGCTTAACGAAGTCATCTATTGTTTGGTTCATCAAAGCCGTTGTCAATACACATATTAGAAATCTGATTACTTACCTCCATGTTGCCACCTAGTTTTGGACCAGCCTGAGCTAAATACAAAGTAGACGAGGATGCAAATACCAGTTCTAATGGATCCCGTACAATCGGCGTCGTTTCCTTCTCTTCGCAATTGTAGTAGAAAACTACTTTGTCGCTCATAACTTTAAATGCTAATTTGATCCATTTCTTTGGTTCGTATGGCAAGTGATAGGTAACCAAACGTTTACTAATTGGACTTGTATTGGCATCGGTATAGAGTAATGATACATTCCATGAATCCTTGATAACTGGAGAAAAGTGCACACCAAATTGCACAACCGTATCTAGAGGATCCACAACACTGAAGAGATAGCCACCCTTTGGTGAGGTGGTCTGAAATGTCGTCTGCACGGCAAAGGCATTTAATTTTTCGGGTAAAATCATGCGGTATGGTGATTTAATATCGGCTATTTGTAGAATTTTATAAGCTGGAAAACCATCCTCGGCATAATCAAATTCGATGCCATTTAAGTTTTCATTAATCATGGCCAGCAAATCGTATTCGGCAATGGCATCTATAAATAAATTAAACATTTATAAAAAAAACCGAAGAAATCATATTTATAGGCGTTTTAATATTAAACGCACAGCCCAAAAGTATGCAAAGATTTCATATATATTTGCAATACAATTGACAAGGCTATAAATAAGTTCTAGCTATAATATTTTATTAATTTGTTAGAAGACGTAAGCAAATAAAACAAACCCTCACAATCTTCTTCTTCGCTGTATTTTGAAGCTACAGAGAGTATATAGAGATAGATAATGAAAACATATTTCACATATAATATATTATTTTTTGAAATTTATTTTATACAAACGACTTACCTTTAATAGCTTGGCCAGTCAGTTCAATGGTCTGTGTTCTTCCCAAAGTAAACACAATTAATAGTAGTAACAACATGTTCCTGCAAGAACTGAAATGAAATGGGAAGAAAATGAAATAAACTAATATTATTTATTTTAAAATAATTATGTAACAATATTAAATAACGATTGAATGCGGAGTATAGATTAAATTATAATTCCCTTAGGCATTGGTATTTTGCCAAATTTATTTATTGTCCACCAAACCCCTTATTCTAAAACAACTTAGAAAAACTTTACGATGGTTATATACTCACAGAGAACGTAAATTATAAAAACACAGTTTATCTTCATGAGTTGTTGGGTTTTCACATGAAATTTTATATGGACATTATTGAATTAGTGCAGGTTCGAAGTTCGGCCCGGCCGAACGTCTTATACCCTCCACTATGAGGATAACAATCAAAATATCTAAAACAAGCAAGTGCCCGCTACTTCGTATGCGGAAAGGGAATACAAAAAACAAAAACAATAATACTTCATATGGAAATCGTGAAATTTGTTGTACTATAGATCAGAATTCCACCTCTATTCCTACATCTAATATCAATATTATTACCATTTATCACTCTTCATACACATAAGCACTATTTTCCGACATCTCTAAATTTATTACCAGTTAGTACCAAAAACCCTTTGGTGCTTCTTTCTAACTCTCGGTCAGTGACCCACATTCTAAATTTTAGGTTTCCAGCTATCAGTATTTATGAAGTAACCTTATTTCCATAAAAGTCTAAATTGTACCAAATTTAGTACTTTTCATACTCATAAGTAAGAATAATTTAAACTACATCAATCCTACACTCTAACAGTGATCTAAATTCCATCAAAGTACAAATTGCACTAAATTTAGTTTCTTTTTTACCCATAAGTACGAATTTCCAAAACCACCTCAGCCATGCCTAAAGTCCACGTATAAAGATTCCATCTCTATCTGTTCACCAAAATCCAAATTGTACTGAGTTTCTAAAACTGCCTCACTTCCACATTGCAACAGTAATTTTAATCAATCACAGCCCTATCCGTTCACATAGACTCAAAGTTTTCCATATTTTGTACCATTTAGTTCTTCTCGTATCCATAAGTAGGAAATTCCAATACTACTTTAACACACCAACAGTAATTTAAATTTCCAGCTCTATCCGTTCACACATAATCAAGTTGTAACAAATATAGTACTATTTAGTACACATAAGTACTATGCTTCCATATCTCAATTCTATATTCCAACAGCAATAATTATTCAAAAATCTCAATTCAAAATTTCAGGTTTTCAACTCTATCCTTTCAAGCAAAATCTAAATTGTACTAAAGTTAGTACCATAAAGTACTTTTCGTACTAATAGGTACGAATTTTCTAAATTACTTCAATCCTACACTCCAACAGTCATTTTAGTTCACAATTTGAAGACTCCAGCTCATTATGTTCACCTAAATCCAACTTGCACCAAATTTAGTACCATTTAGTACTTTTCGTAAACATAAGTACAATTTTTTAAAGCTACCTCAATCCTGTCCTCCGATAGTAGTCCAAATTCGTATTTTCAGGATTCCATCTCTTTACGCTCAACTAAATGCAAATAGTACCATTTAGTACGTTTTATACACATAAGTAGGAATATCTTAAACCATTTCCATACATCAACACCGTCCCAACCTATATTCCATATAAATTTTCAAGCTATAGCTATATATGTTCAATATTTATACAATTTGAAATAAATTTAGTAAAGTTTAGTACTTTTAGTACACTTATAGGTCGAATTTCTAAAAATGCATGGAATCACTTTCTGAGTCGATTTATGCATGTCCGTCCTCTGTCCTACTGTTGGTGTTAAATTGTAAACAAAGTACAGGTCGCATTTATAATCCGATTTGGATGAAATTTGGCACAGCTCTTTTGCTTGGCCCAAGGACGACCCTATTGAAATTCGGAAAAATCGGTTCAGATTTAAATATAGCTCCCATATATATTTTCGTCCGATTTAAGGTAAATTGTGCACCAAAGACCCTGTCGATTTGCACGAAATTTAGTATAACGTACCGAATTGAGACTAGAACTATGTACCGAATTGAGCCTAGAACTATGTCAGCCAAGTTTCGTGAAAATCGGTCCAGATTTTTATATAGCTCCCATATATAGTTTCGTCCGATTTCATGTAAATGGTGCACCAAAGGCCCTATATATATATATCTTTCGATTTGCACCAAATTTGGCATAACGTACTGAATTGAAGCTAGAATCATGTGTGCTAAAAATCGGTTCAGATTTAGATACAGCTCCCATATATAGTTTCGCCCGATTTTAAGTAAATGGTGCACCAAAATCCCGGAAAATCATTAGATTTGCAATAATTTTCTCATAGCATACTGAATTAAGTCTAGAAAACTATTAGATTTGCACGAATTTTGGCATAGCGTACTAAATTAAGTTTAGAATGACGTGTGCTAAGTTTCGTGAAAATCGGTTCAGATTTAGATATAGCTCCCATATATAGTTTCGCCCGATTTTTGGTAAATGTTACATCAAAGTCCCTGCAAATATTTTGATTTGCACGAATTTTGGCATAGCGTACTAAATTAAGTCTAGAATGACGTGTGCTAAGTTTCGTGAAAGTCGGTTCAGATTCAGATATAGCTCCCATATATAGTTTCGTCCGATTTCAAGTAAATGGTAAACCAATCTCCCTGAATTTGCACGAATTTTCGCATAGTGTTCTGAATTAAGTCTAGAATGATGTCTGCTCTGCTTCATGAAAATCGGTGCAGATTTAGATATAGCTCTCATATATAGTTTCCCCCGATTTTAGGTAAATAGTGCACCAAAGTCCCTGAAAATCCTTCAATTTGCACTAATTTCGGCATAGCGTACTCAATTGCGTCTAGAATGACGTGTGCTAAGTTTCCTTAAAATCGCTTCAGATTTAGATATAGCTGCCATATATATATATATAATTTCGTCCCATTTTATGTAAATGCCGCACCAAAGCCCCCTTTATCTTTCGATTTTTGTATAGCGTACTGAATTAAGTATAGAATGAAATGTGCAAAGGTTCTTTAAAATCGGTTCAGATTTACATACACCTCCTATATAAAGATCCATAGTTAAGCCGATTGACACAACGTACTGAAGTTAATATAAATTAATCTCTGGCAAGTTTCCTTGAAATCGGTTCAGATATAGATATATCATAGCTTCCATATATAATTTCGACTTATTCATGTTTATTGTACACAAAATAATCAATGGGTGTTTGATTGAGATAAAATTTTATACAGTGCAGCGTACCGAATAGATTGTGTCAAGTTTTCTTTAAATTGATTTACAAAATTTAGCATAGGTTGCAGAATGACATGTGTAGGGATTTATGTTAGTCGGTTTAGAGATAGATAAAGATCGCAATGTTCCTTCGAAAAGGCGACGTCTTTTAGGATACATATGTAGAATATGCCCAAAGTGGTAAAGGGTATCATATAGTCGGCCCAATCCGACTTTACTACTTTCCTTACTGGTTTTGTTTGAGTCCATGTATTACATATACATCTATTGGTTTCACTTTTATCAGGAAGAACTTAATAAAAAACATAACTTTGTTGGGCTTAATAAGATCAATCAAGAGTGCTTCGAGTCAATATCACAGAATGTTAGCTTTGCCATGAAACCAGGGTATTTAAAATGGATTTTACCCTGATAAAATGTAAAGTGTTTAATGGAATGAGATGGATTATTTATGCCATTCATAAAATATTTCGATTTTTGGATGGAGAAAGTAGATATATTTAAAAAACGATTGTTTATATGAACAATAAAAACAAAATCTCATTTCCAAACCCCATCATCCAGAACTTTTAATATAATAAATAAAACCCCAAATTTGGGGACTTATTTCATTTTCTGTTTGGGGACTTATTTCATACCGCCTTAATGTACACCGATTGCTACTGTTCAGTATATATATATATATATATATATATATAGGATGGGAAGAATGTCGATTTTCGTTGACCCAAAATCTTAATAGGAATGAAATTTTACCTAATTTGCGAAATGATGGAGTTCCATTTTATGACGTGTTACCTGAATTTTATTTTAATCGCCTTATGTTTAAACACCACATATAATTCAATCCGATACCATGGTCTATATATATATATATATTTTAATAAGTACGATTTCTGATATGATATTTTCCCTTCTATTACTGTCATTTAAACTACTGTCCATAAAAAATAGCCAATATGGAATATTGACGTTTATAAAATGAAACAATTGCTTCTATGTTTTAATGATATCAGTTCTAGACTATGAATGTGTAATCCCTGTACACGTGTAAATAAAATTGTGGCTTATTATGTGCATTATAACCACAATGGCCAAACTAAAACCGTCATTATTGACTGAAATACTGCAACTGAGTACAATATACATAGAATCTCTTACCCCTATTTAGAAAAGAGGTATTAACAACTACCGCAAATATATACATGTATGAGCCACTCCATAAAACGAAAAGTTGAGAAACTAAATCTCTTATATAATAGTTATTCAAATATATAATTTAGAATGGATAATAGCGATAGTATATATTATCCAGCATAGTTATTATAAAAACGTACATTAAAGATTTTCCAAAAATTAGAGTTAATCGGTATGTGCATTGAATGGCTCATATATATACGTAGCCTTTTTATTCGAACCCCATCAAGGAATGAAATTGCACTGGTAAAGTTTTCAACGAGAAGGGTGACCAAAAACAAATTTCATACTGACAAGGAATAAGTGTCAAACCGAAACAAACACTTGACTTATACGAATGTAATATACACATGCTGGTGAACATTGATACATTCAGCGTGGGGTAATATAAACCTTTCGAATACCCAGCAAACTAATCACATATGTGCCAAATTTCAGCAAATTTTCCTAAAATCGTAAAAGTCAAAAATGAGGGCTGATTTTGACGTCGTATGTGGATCATGTGTATAATATCAAAAAAGAAAAAAGAAAACTACAATATAGAGGGCGAAGTTATATGAGGCCATCA